AATCTTCAAATGAAGATTCGAGAAGCTAGGGGCTGATTCGAGCCACACGGTTTATGGATTTGGATTCAGGGTGGCTAGATGGTCCTAGGGTGTTAATTTGGCGGTCACCGGCATCATTGCCACCGGGTTTCCAGCTCAGGGCTTCAATGGCGGCGGCTACGGTTTGCTGGTTAGGCTCGCCTCTAAGAGAGACGATGATGAAGGGAGGGGTTGGTTCGGGGGGTGGAGGGGTGGGTAGAGGTTTGGGAATATATACCACGAAGGGGATTTAATCCCAGCCGTTAGATCAATCAAGATCAATGGCCAGGATTAAGGGAGTTAACCAATACATCGTTGTTTGGTTTAAGTAGGGGTCGGTTCGAACCGGGTAATGGGTCAGGTTTGGGAAAGGCCATGGGATCATTAGATTAGATTGGATGGACGACTCAGATCAAATGCCCTATGCGGCGTCGTTTGGGGGGCGTCTCTGAAAGACCTGGTTTGGACTGGGTCAATGTCACTGGTTTGGGCCTGAATTTTTGGTTTCACCTGGCCCAATCCGAGTTTCCTTGATACTTCACCCATTTTCCTTCTTTCTTTAATTACCAAAATTAAACAAAAATCCTAAATAAATTGTAAAATCAAAAATAAAATTACACACGTATTATTTAACACCTATAATGGTTAACACACAAATTAAACATTAAATAAAATCACACAATGACAAGAAACACACATGCATATTTTTTTTTGATTTTTTAAACCAAATTATGGTTAATTAATTCCTAAATGTACCATTAATTCCTAAATGCATGCAACATGAATTTTTTGTATTTTTAACTATAGCAAGGTGAGCATTTACGGACAGAACAATTATCAAAATGTCACGCAAATTCTCAAAATTGTACCCGAAGGTAACTTGTTTTATTTTTTTGATTTCTTTTGGAGTAGTTTCCGTGAAGCAAAAATCACGTGCTCACAACTGCCCCTCTTTGTCCGAAAGCACAAAGAGCTTTCGTACAAAGATAAAGTGAGCGGATACGAGCGATTTTTGCCCTGTTGGAGTACTCTGTGTGAAGCATTTTTTGAAAAAAGATTTAACCGAACCTTTGCTTCAAAGGTTTCCTACATATCCCTGGCTAAAAGGGAATCAGGTCAATGTAGTTCGGAAAGTTTCGGTAGCTGGGACTACCATGAAGCTGTTGTTTTGTTGTTACTGCTATTGCTGCTACTGCTACCGCTTACTGACCTCCTTATTGCACCGTGCTCAAAGAAGAACAAGAAGCTAGACTAAACTGGGGATTACAAAATCATATCTATCTTTCACACTCGCTCTTGTCGCCTTGATTTCTTGCTGGCTCGTGTTTTCCCCGTTGCTTCTTTCTTTGACTTGACTTGCAGTCTTCTTTATGGTTTTTGAGATGGGATTCATGTTGGGGGCATTTTGTTGTAACCCTCCGCATTACTGGCTTCTGACTTGACCTTTGAAATGCATTCCTCTGTTATACAGGCGGGCTCCTGACTTCCAACTTAAATGTACTCCTCTATTATATGGGCGGACTCCCAACTTCAACCCTTAAAATATAAAGACTGAAATGTATTCCTCTATTCTTCCAGGCGGGCTCCTGCAACCAAAGTAAACAAAAACAAACGAAATTTTTGCCCAGTTTGCACTAGGAATATTCGTGAGTTGTTAGCTAAATTGTAAACCACTTCTACTGCAATGATGAGAGTAAACTAAAGACTAGACTAGGATGTGCGTCTCCTACGAGTAAAACCAAACTTGGGAGGAAGTGCGTCTCCTACGGGTAAAATAAACTTACGCAGAAATACCTCTCCTATGGGTAAAAATAAACTTAGGAGGAAATGTCTCTCCTAGGAGTAAGAATAAACTTAGGAGGAAATGCCTCTCCTATGGGTAGTACAAACTTAGGAGGAAATGCCTCTCCTAGGGGTAAGAATAAACTTAGGAGGAAATGTCTCTCATAGGGGTAAAACAAACTTAGGAGGAAATGCCTCTCCTAGGGGTAAGACAAACTTAGGAGGAAATGCCTCTCCTATGGGTAAAAATAAACTTAGGAGGAAATGCCTCTCCTAAGGGTAAGAATAAACTTAGGAGGAAATGCCTCTCCTATGGGTAGAACAAACTTAGGAGGAAATGTCTCTCCTAGGGGTAAGAATAAACTTAGGAGGAAATGCCTCTCCTATGGGTAAAACAAACTTAGGAGGAAATGCCTCTCCTAGGGGTAAGAATAAACTTAGGAGGAAATGCGTCTCATATGGGTAAAACAAAACTTAGGAGGAAATGCCTCCCCTAGGGGTAAGACAAACTTAGGAGGAAATGCCTCTCCTATGGGTAAAAATAAACTTGAAAGACCTAGCCTAGGAAATGCTTTTCCTAGTGGTGACGTGTGATCGTCTCAAATAGCCTTTTGCGTAAGCAGAATTGGGGCACTACACCTGAAAAATTCACCCTTCCTAGCTTTGATATGAACCTAGCTTCCATCCCTGTTTCAAACAAAGGAAACTTGTGAGTTTAAACATAGTGGTTCGTTGCGCTACTCCTGCTGGGGATGCTATAAACCCTTTTCCTTCCGTCCTGAATTATCTTTCTTCAAAACTACTTCCCTCAAAACTTGTACTGTCTTTTATGCAAACTGCTGGGGATAACATTTTCTCAAAAATGTGTTATCTTACTCCTCCAAAGACTACTTCCCTTAAGACTGATGTTTCATTCCTCTGCAAACCATTTCTCTGTTTATATTCTTCCTTCGAAGACTATCTCCCTTAAAACTCGTGTTACCTTCCTCCTGACATTGCTTTCTTTAAAGCTTGTTTTGTCTTCTCCTGAAAAACTGCTGGGGATATCACTTTTCTCAAACCTGTGTTAGACTTCTCGAAAAATTTCGAAATGAACGAAAAGTTTCTGCCCCAGTTTGATAATCTTCTTTGTGACCCTGTCTTTCTGCTGTCAGTAATATTCCCTTTCCTAGCTTCAAATCAAAGAAAAATTTGTTAGTTCAAAACGGGGCGAGTTGTCGTGCCCTTTCTGTTGGGGATGGTTCTTCTTTTCTCTTCCTTGCTTTGCTATAAAACTTGTTGGGGCTGATATTCCTGCTGGGGATGGTTCTTCTCTTCTCTTCCTTCCCCGCTCTGTGTTGTTCGACCATTGTGGAGCTTGGTCGAGAATCTGTCGGAGTTGTCCCTGTGTCTTGCAAGTCTGCTGGGGATCCTCAGAACCTTTTAACTGTTGCTTTTCCATTTTCTCCCACTTCCCTTGGAAATTTGGTCCTCTTGGGGTCTATACCCATTCATCATTTGTTCTTGAGACCAACCTCTTTTCGCTTTGTCGCCTTATCTTTTGGGCCTGTCCTATTTGCATTTTGTTTTGCATTATTTTGGCGACTGGTAGTAAGCTCTGAAAATCTTTTTCAAAAACAAGTGCCGGGGAAGTAAAGTCTTTAAACAAAGAAATGAAAAAGTGATGATCTCAAAAATAGAAAAAGAAGAAGTCTTTCTGAACAAATGCTAGGGAACAGGAAAGAAAAGAACTTATCTGAATGATATAACCGATCCCAACGATCATGTCGCGTATTCCGGATTAATCAACCCAATCTATTTGTATCAATCAACCTTTCGGATGACCTCATGTTGCTCGGGATAAACAGGTACTCAACTCTTTGCCAAATGCGGATCCTTTCTGCCAATCTTGTCTTGTCGCCTCATAGTGCCCTTCGAGGGGTTTTCACTAATAAGACTCTCTCATTTCTCTCAACTCCCGTCGCCTTACGGTGCCTGTGAAGATTTTCACTGATAAGACTCTCTCATTTCTCTCAACTCCCTTCGCCTTACGGTGCTTGTGAAGGTTTTCACCGATAAGACTCTCTCATTTTATTTTATTTTTCAGCTGGGGATCGGAGTGCTACCGATATGACTCTCTTTGTTGGGGGATTCTTTCGGCTATCAATTCATTTCCAGCTTGGGGATCAAAGTGTTATTCCCGACTTCCATTTGCAATTGGTTTAGCACTTCTCGGATACTGATCGGGAGGTCTTTTTTGGATATCAATATGGGTTTTTGTGTATGGTTAAAATAAAAGGGGTAACAAGAGGTTCAAAATAATTTTGATGGGTAAAATATTACAACTCTTGGAATCAACTTTCTTTCCCAAAATTATACACACAAACTTCTGCCCGAGTTTTTCTTGCTTGGGGGATTTTTATTTTTTGTTACACTATGACCGAGCCGTGAGGCGCCTACGTATCCTTCTTTGAGGAATCAGGTCAAACGTAGTTCCCAATTCCTTTGTTTTTCTTGTGACTTTTCCTTTGTCTTTATTATCATTATTTTTCTTCTTCTTCTTCTTCTTCTTCTTTTTTCATTTTAATTACTGATTCCAAAAGAGGGATATGAAAAAAAAGGCTCAAAAGGGGAAGCAAAGGATAAAGTGTTTGGATATAAGAAAGAATTGCCTCCGTCATTTCATTCTTCGATAAATGTCAACCACAAACAAACAACAATTACAATCAAAAGAAATCATTCATAATATCTCTTAACTGCATCAGAATTGATAGTCATGTCGACGCATTTCCCACCGATATCTGTTAAATATAAAGCGCCATTGGACAATACTCTGGTTACAATAAATGGCCCTTGCCAATTCGGGGCGAACTTGCCCTTTGCCTCAGCCTAATGTGGGAGGATGCATTTCAACACTTGCTGGCCCACTTCAAACTTCTGGGGACGTACCTTTTTGTTGTATGCTCTTGTCATTCTCTTTTGATATAACTGGTCATGACACACAGCTGCCAGTCTCTTTTCATCAATCAAGCTCAACTGCTCCAAACGGGTTTTGACCCACTCGTCATCATCAATCTCAGCTTCAGCAACAATCCGAAGGGATGGAATTTCAACTTCCGCCGGTATTACTGCTTCAGTTCCATATACCAACAAATAGGGAGTGGCCCCTACTGAAGTCCAAACAGTAGTGCAATAACCCAACAATGCAATTGGTAATTTTTCATGCCATTGTCTGGACCCTTCTACCATCTTCCTCAATATCTTCTTGATGTTCTTGTTGGCTGCTTCAATAGCTCCATTCGCCTTGGGACGATATGGTGTGGACTTACGGTGTGCAATCTTAAACTATTGACATACTTCCTTCATCAAATTGCTGTTGAGATTAGCACCGTTATGTGTGATGATCACTTTTGGGACCCCAAATCGACAGATGATATGGGAGTGAACAAAATCCACTAATGCCTTCTTGATTACTGACTTGAAAGTTTTAGCTTCAACCCACTTAGTAAAATAGTCGATGGTCACCAGAATGAACCTATGACCGTTGGTAGCTGCCGGCTCAATAGGTCCAATGACATCAATGCCCCATGCAACAAATGGCCATGGCGCTGACATTGTATGCAATTCTGTCGGCGGAGAATGAATCAAATCTTCGTGTATCTGACATTGATGGCATTTCCACACGAAACTGATACAATCACACTCCATAGTGAACCAATAATACCCTGCTCGAAGAATCTTCTTCGCCAATACATATCCGCTCATATGTGGCCCACAAACTCCGGCATGTACCTCTGTCATAACTGTCGCGGCTTGACTGGCATCTATACATCTCAGCAATCCCAAATCTGGGGTTCTTTTGTACAACACTCTCCACTGAGGAACAATCCACTTGACAATCACCGAATGGCTCTCTTTTGATCTCCGGTGGCCTGCTCCGGGTATATCCCCATCCTGAGGTACTCCTTTACGTCATAAAACTATGGCTCGCCATCCACTTCTTCTTATACCATGTTGCAATAAGCATGTTGATCGCGCACCTGGATGTATAATGGGTCAACATGAATTTTGTCTGGGTAGTGCAACATCGATGTTAAAGTGGCTAATGCATCAGCAACCTCATTGTGGATTCTCGGGATGTGTCTGAACTCCACTGATCGGAATCGCTTGCTCAGATCATGCAAACATTATCGATATGGTATGAGTTTCAAATCCCGTGTTTCCCACTCACCCTGAATCTGATGCACCAGGAGGTCCGAGTCTCCCAAGACCAAAACGTCCTGGACATCCATGTCTGCAGTTAGTCGCAGACCCAAAATGCATGCCTCATACTCAGCCATGTTGTTGGTACAATAGAATCGCAGCTGAGCTGTAACAGGATAATGACGTCCTGTCTCAGAAATAAGTACCGCTCCTATTCTAACTCCCTTCGCATTTGCGGCTCCATCAAAGAAAAGCTTCCAACCTGGTTCCTCAGGTAATTCCAACTCATCTATATGCATTACTTCCTCGTCAGGAAAATACGTCCTCAATGGCTCGTATTCTTCATCAACAGGATTCTCAGCCAAGTGATCGGCCAGCGCTTGGGCTTTCATGGCCGTCCTCGTCACATAGACGATATCAAACTCCGTGAGTAATATTTGCCATTTTGCTAACCTCCCTGTGGGCATAGGCTTCTGGAAAATATACTTTAGTGGATCCAAGCGGGAAATGAGATAAGTA